GGGGGGAGTCGGGCGTGGAGGTGGGCTCGGACCTGGGCGGAGTGGAGGGACTGCTCTGGCCCGGTCCCCGAAAGAGGTCTTCCTAGCTGGCGTGCTCTTGCCAAAGGCTCCTGCCTGGGTTTTTAAATTTCTTTCATTTTGGGGGGTTTGTTTTTGTGATTATTGTAGAAAGGAGTTTTAAGCATTTATAAAGGGATGTAAGTCTTGCCTTACAATGCAAACATTAATCTTAGGAAATGGTTTGCAAGTTGAGAAGAGGAAATGGAACATATGTAAATATTTTGTGGGTATTTGGATGAAACTACAAAATGTTCTGCCCAGGATGAAATGTGTAAGTTGGAATGGGGGGCTCATTTACCCACAACCACTTTTAGTTAACAGTTTTTACTTTCTCTGTCCACACCCCTCTGTATTTGGGTGTACTTTTTTTGACCCTAGTTGCTTACAGTTATCTAGAGGCACAGAAGATGTGAAACCCAGGCCCCTGACTTCCTTAGGACAATTTGTATGGACTCTGTTGCCTTCACTATTGAGTCAATCTTTTCCTTAAGTGATTTGTTTGGACTTCATTTACTGCCTTAGTTTTACTAGCTTGATCTCAAAATTAGGTCTTTTGCTTGGAGTGACAGGCCAAATTGGTTTATTGTTTTTCTTTCTAAGTTTACATCTTTGGAACGATTTTATTTTATTTATTTTATTTTGGTGCCCAGGATCGAGCACGGGTCCTTGTGCTTGTGAAGCAGGCGCCGGAACCACTGAGCTAAATCACCGGCCCAGGAACGATTTTAAAGGGCAAGCTTAACCCCTTCCCCTCTTACTGGGTTTGATTCTCCTCCCATTCTGACAGAAACTAAATAAAGGCTGACCTACCGTTGGATCCTTGGACTCCTCTGGAGCCACTCCCTTGAGGGAGGGTCTGGAAGTTACGTCCTCTGCGGGTCACCAGTATACAAATTGGAACCGCGCTGTCAGCAGACAGTGTAGCACTGGCATAAACAATGTAAAATCACCATCATTAGTACCTGTGTGTGAAAATCCATCGTCGAACCAGCAAATTCTAATTTTTCCTTTAAAATCTTTACTGTTTGTTTTAACAGACAAGTATTTAAGTATCAAAGGTATAAGGGTAAAAAAATCATGGGAAAAGCCTGTGTGGAGACTTTTTGTTTATGTATGCATGTATGCATTTTTGGTACCAGGGATCGACCTCGGGTCCTTGCACTTGCCAGGCAGGCAGTGGAACCACTGAGCTAAATTCCTGACCCGAGACTTTTTGATCTAGTGTAGAATTTGTAACTCTGGAGACTTGGTGGAGGTAAAGCTGGGGGCCTTAGTGGAGGGTTGTAGGTGTCTCAGAACTAACCTGGAGCTCTAAGATGAGACCCTTTACCCTGTGCCCTGGTGTCACACTTTGTCGCTCACTGAGCTGTCTTCGACTGTTTGCTCCCTGGTGTGACTGATGACCAGGCTGATTCCTGAGGGAAAAAGTTGTGTCCCCCCTTCCTCCATTTGCTGGAAGGGTCCAGACCTGCTGAAGACTCCTTGAGGTTGCACAGCCTCCAGCTCTGATAGAGTTAGTCTCTCAGTGAGGGTCCCTTCCCTGGCTCCTGGCCCTGGAGACTGCAGTAAGGCTACTTAACTCTCAGAGCTGTGCACAGCAGCGTATCCCTGAGGTAGGTGGGCCCACGGTTGCCCTTCTGGGCCAGTGGGAAGCACCTGAAGGCAGAAAGTGTGCCTTAGTCCTCTGGCTCACAGTGGGTGTGAAACACAATTAAAAAAAAAAAATCAGAATGCTTAAAGAAACTACTGTGTTCTAGTAGCTTTATATATAGTATTTGTGATGTCATTTGCTCCTCTTAACAGATACATGAAATATTTTAGTGAATGACAAAATGACATTCAGAGAGACAGTGCTTAAGACCCACAGAGTTAGGAGAGACAGGATTTAAATCCGCATTGAAGAAACTCCCGGCCTGTTTTCTTCAGTGTTCTGAAGCACCTCAAAGAATAGCAGTCCCCTATGCCAGAGGCTTTATGTAATAATCTTCTTGTAGTTGACCCTTCCAGAGATGAAACTGAGGCCCTGATTGATGATTGAGAAATTTGTGAGCCACCCAAGATCGAGCATCTAGTAATTGGTAGAACTAGAATTTCAAACCAGATCCAGGGGACTGTGCATTTCTCATGGCCAAGTGCCTTTTGTGAATTAATGTGTGCCTGCTTGTTTGAACAGGCACAGTTTTCATGGCCCCATTATGACTGGATAGTGCATTGTTTTCCTAAGTAATATAGAGTCATTTGTTGAAGATTAGTAATGTGGAAAGCTGGCAGTACATACTAGAAGATTTATAAAATGTTTATTCCCTTTCAGCTATTTCAGTTTTTAGGAATTTGTCCTTGGGAAATAATGAGGGATGCCTGAAAATATGTATGAGGATGTTCATCTCAGATTATATATATTATTAATATTTATCAAGGAAAATTGGAAGCAATCTGAATGTCTACCAATGAAAGTAGTTAATTGAATTATGGCCTGAATTAGCAAGAGGAATTGCTAACCACGGACTAATAAATAAAAATAATAAAACTATGAATATAGTCTCAAAGGTTATACATGGAAATACATATAACATTTGGCTGGTATAATTATTAGTGATTTCATTTTTTGTTTTAGACTTCAAATATTTCCCAGCTTTTGCAACAACGGGTAATTACTTTTATAATATGAAAATGTTAAAAACAAAAACTGAAAAGGAGTAAGATCTTACTGGGCAAGTGCTTAAGTTTGATTGACTTTCAAGCAGTTAAAATTATTCTGACTCTGAGTGGCAGAAGCAAACCAGCCTAGACTTGTCTGTCAAGTTTAGATCATAACTCATTGGAATCCCTGAAGGGAACTATTACACAATTTCTTCACTTAAAGCAGCAATATTTTATGTTGCTCATTGTTAACTGCCAAAGCAATGGAACATACTCTGACTTGAACTTTAAATTCATATCCTTATGCTTGGATTTCTGTAAGATAAAACGTAAAGTTTGTTAGTCAGAACTATTGTGTTCTGTATCTTCATGTACTCTCAAGTAGATAAAATATTAACCTTTGCTTTTAGAAAAAACGATGTCTTACTCATTTGCAAAAATGTAATTTAAAAATACCTTAAACTCAGTTGAAACCAGGCTAAATAAATGCCAAGAGTACTTGTTTTTCTTTTGTTGGTTTTCTTTTTCGTTTTGTTTTTGTTTTTAAAAATGATTCAGAAGAGGGCCAGGGATTTATCTCAGTGGCCACAGCGCCTGCCTTGCAAGTGAAAGGTCCTTGATCCCTGATACCACCAAAAAAAAAAAAAGATTAAAAAGAAAAGATGGTTTTGTAAGGTCTTTTCTCTGGTGTATCAAAGGGTTGTAGTAGAAAATATCTTTTATAGGAGTATATAAGCTAGATGGCTCAGTAGGTTTCTTGTCGTGAAAGTTTATCAACCACATCATGCATTCCTTTCATTAAGATTTCATTGTGTATTCCTTTTAGGCCTCTGTTACTTATATAGAGATGTGGGTACATTACAACCGTGCTGTTTGAGGATTACATTAGATGTAGTATGGAATAAATTGCTTGTCTTCACCAACTCTTAGATTCCATGATACCATGTAACCGTTCTTCCTTGTCATTCTTTTAACCTTTATGTGGGTCCCATTATACGGATGTTATTTAACTACTTCAGTATCATTACATAACTATATTGTTTCCAATTTTTTCCCAATTCTATCATAGCTGTATTTATGTAGCTTATATTTATAGATTATGTAGCATTCTTTTTAATTTATGATGCACCTAATTTGAAAATGATTTAACTTTGTATTGTATGATTAATGAGAAAGAAATTCTGGACAACAGAGAGTGACGATATTTTGTGACGCTCTTGTATTTCTAGATAAAATTTGATGCTGGGACCCTCCTCCTTAGTACACACCGACTGATTTGGAGAGATCAGAAAAATCATGTAAGATAAAGATTTTGACACCTGTTCCAGGTTTTATTTATTTGTTTATTTTTTGGTGGTACTGAGAATGCAACCCAGAGCCTTGTACATGATAGGCAAGCGCTGTATCGCTGAACTATACCTCCGGCCATTTGGTGTGGGTTTTAACTTACTAAAGGTTTTCATTTCTTTTTTGGTTTCCCCATTTTTGGAGGAACTATAAGTGGATACAACACACTTTCCCTTTCAGAATTCAGAAGTGTGTCTCATGCTGTTTCTCTGAATGGAGTGCAAAGAGTGTTTTGGCTCCATCAAAGTCTGTAGTTACTGGATGGAGAATCCTGGTATGTCTTTTATTAAAAACCAATCAGCCATAGCAGGGCGTGGTGGCGCACGCCTGTAATCCCAGCACTTGGGAGGCTGAGGCAGGAGGATCGCTGTGAGTTCGAGACAGCCTGGGTTACATAGTGAGTTCTAGGTCAGACTCAACTACGTAGTGAGACCCTGTCTCAAAAAAAAAAACAAAAACAAAAAACCAATCAGCCAGGCATGGTGGCACATGCCTGTAATCCCAGCATTCGGGAAGCTGAGGCAGGAGGATCGCTGTGAGTTCGAGACCAGCCTGGGTTACATAGTGAGTTCTAGGTCAGTCTCAACTACGTAGTGAGACCCTGTCTCAAAAAACCAAAACAAAAAAACACCAATCAGATCCTGCTCCATACCTGATGTTTGGAGTATAGCAAAGGTATAACCCTGCCATCAGATGTGAGGGACTCATATGTCCTCCCGATAACCCCCTCTCAGACAGTGGTTGAGAATCGGTGAGAGTCTGTTGTATGCTTTCATCTAAACACTGAGAAGATTTGCTTCCAAGTTACTCCAGAAGAGGGGAACTCCTGCCCCTATTTTTTTTATAATTTCTAGGAGTGGAAAGTGAACTATGATATTTAGAGAGCTGATATCTTCATTCCAGAGGTCTTTAACTTGAAAGTATTTCATTAAGATGAGCTATAAATAATTTTCTTAATCACTCCCCCTGCTGTAGTTGTTTTTGAGTGTTGGGGTTCAAGCCTAGGGTTTTATAAATGCTATATTTGTACCTCAACCTTCATGAAATTTTAATACTGTACACAAACAATATACTATACTGCAGCCTTTTGAAAGACTAACCCTCGCATTATCTGACTTTTTGAATTTCAGGAAGCAGTTTTTGTTCCCTTAGGGGCCATATTGCCCCCATTGATAGTAAATTTCATATCCTGTTAATGTTGTCTTAATTTTTTGTTCACTTAGCATAGAAATCTTTGGAGAATGATAGGGAATCCTTTAACCATATGTTGATAAATTAATCTTAGAATAATGTTTATTATATAAAGTGTCAAATTTGAGTGAATTTTTAGATCTGTTATGTACCAGTCATATATGTTTGTTTGTTTGTTTGTTTATGAGGCAAAGTCTATGTTGCTCAAGCTGTTCATAAATTTGTGGGCCCAAGCAATCCTCTTGCCTGAGCCTCCTGAGTAACTGGGGCACTCACCGCCACACCTCGCCTTGTCTGATAATTTTAAAAAATCATTTGCTAAATCATGTACTAATAAGGGAGTCTACATCAGTATCTTTCGTTAAAAGTAAATTGTATATATGTATGGGAGAAGTATGGGAAACTAAAGCAGAAAAAAAATCACCCTTAGAATGAGCTCCTTAAAATTTGTTTTATCTGTTTTATTTTCTTATCCATATAAGAAAATATTAGATGTGAGAAATTTTCATATGATTGTTATTTTCAGAAAATATACCCACTAGAGTCTCACCACCCTGAATGTGCCAGATCTCATCTGATCTTGGAAGCTAAACAGGCTGGGGCTTGGTTAGCACTTGGATGGGAGAAAATTCACGCACTAGGACATGAATATGATGCATACAGTGAAGATCCTCCCCCATAAAAATCTGAAATAGAGAGGGTAGAACAAGAGGGGTGAGAGAGAGAATGATTAAACTGTGTTATCTACATGTACAAATCTACCAGAATGAAACGCATTAATCTGTATAACCAATATGGACTAATAAAAAAATGTAGAAAGAAAAAGCAATATACCCATTGCACAAACAAAAGTTGTTACAGCTGTGTTTAAGCCTCTTATATTTTTCCACATAGCAAAATTTACCACAGTTATTTAATTTTTCCTTAATTTTATTTAAAGAATAAAACATTGTTATTTTTAAATATTTTGATTATGAAGTCCCTTAAAGATATATTGCACGCTCCTACTATGAAAGGATTCCTGACAAGTGTTAAGGATCTTGCTTTGTACTGATTTCCTCCTAGGAGTGCTGCATGGCCATTCCTTTGTCCCAAATTGTGTTCATCGAGGAGCAGGCAGCTGGAATTGGGAAGAGGTGAGGTCTATGTATTATTATAGCCTTGGTTCACAAAAACACCGCCTTTATACTCGTACTTCCCACCTTAGATTCATTCTTAAAGTACAAATGTAGTGGTACCCTGGGGCCATAATAAATAAATGTGGCCTGCCTGTCATTGTGTATTTCCAGACACTGGGCTTTCCTGTGTGAGCCTGTCACTCAGTACTTCCATCACAAATGACCCACCTGAGAAAGATAACTGACTTTGCTACTATCTCCATCTGAGTATTAGGTTATTTTTCAAGTTTCAGTTGTTCCGATAGAAGAATGAAAACGTCATAAGTTGTTTTGCAAAACCAGATGTTTATAAGAGTAATAGACACAGTTCATAATTGGACAATGAATGTAAAATGGAAGTGTCCTAGATCAACCAGGAGATATAGTCCCCCTGGTGAAGATACAGACTGAGATGTTCCTGTTGATTCTAGTTCTCTAAAAATTTTGGCTCTATATTCTTTTTCTTTTTCTTTTTTCTTTTATTGAGTTTATTGGTACATTTTAGGTATACTGTACAGTTACATTCATTATTGGGATCTTGTACCTTTACATGACAGGTCTTGGTTCTCATTTTTTCCCCATACCCCTGCCCTCCCTTCACCCCTTCCTCCCCTCCCCATTTACTAACACTTTATTTCCAGTTTTTCATTTTCTCATATTTTTTTTCCTTATTACCTTTCCCCTGCCCTTCCCACTTTCCATACACCTTTAGCCCTTTTCTTCCCAGAACCACTGAGCCAAATCCCCGGCCTTTTTTTTTTTTTTTTTTTTTTTGAGACAGGGTCTCACTATATAGTTGAGACTGACCTGGAACTCACTATGTAGCTCAGGCTGGTGTCAGACTCATAGCGATACTCCTGCCTCAGCCTCCTGAGTGCTGGGATTATAGGCATGCACTACCATGCCCGGCTCATTGGCTCTATGTTCTATGTGCATACAATTCAGAAGACTTGCGAACAAATATTGATGTGATCTAAAGGTTCCTCTTTAGAGTTAGTATAATTAGATGTTTTGATGGAAGTTAAACATGTTGGACCTCATAGGAAATGCAGTGTATTCCTTAATCATAATGTTATAACTTTCTTTTCACCTATTTTCTTTTGTTGTCTAGCCTCTCCTCTCAAATAATAACCATAATTGCATTAATTTAAAGACAAATATTTTTCACTTTTTTTTAAAACGTGCTATCTCATTATGTTGCCCAGGCTGACCTTGAGCTTGTGATCCTCCCGCCTCCATTTTGAGAATACTAAGATTATAGGCATGTGCTACCATGCCTGGTTTTATTTTACCCATCTTTTAACTTTTTTCCTTCTTTTTTTTTTTTTGCTGTGCTGGGGATTGAACTCAGGGTTGGGCAAGTACTCTTATCATTTAGCTACATGCCCAGCCCATCTTTTGAATTCAGGATATTCTTTTCATTTTATAGATGTTAAATTTGATGAAGTATAGTAATTGAATGACTCAGTAAAAGAATAGATGAAGGGCTGGGGATGTAGCTCAGGGATGCAGTGTCTACCTGGCAACCTCAAGGCCCTAAGTTTGATTCCTGGTGCCAACAACAATAACAAAAAAATAAATAAAATTTTTAAAATTAGAAAAAAGGAATATATGAAAAATTCACAGTTTGGTTTTTTTTCAAAATTTAAGCTTCATTTTGTATCATAATAGCTTTTCATTTGGTTTCCTCTGACAATTTGATAGCAGGGCCAAGAGTTTTTAGTGTTATAGATTGTGAAATACTTTTGCTCAATCAGCTTATCACTGTTCTCATAGTTTTGTTGCTCTACTTGATGGTTTATTCCAAGCAGTTCTATGATTCAGCTAGCATAGATTATTTGTTCACCTGGCTTAAAAGATGTTCACAACAAAGGAATGGATGAACAGTCCTTACAAGGCTAGCCCCAGCTCACTAACCAAAGCCTTACTTATACTAAGGCCCAATTCATGATGTTTCAACTATACAGTAATATTTTGGCAACTATATGGGCCCAAATAAAAAAAGCAAAATCGAGTACTGTAGTGGGAACATCTATAATATGATCATAAAGAAAAGCCTCCAACTGCCTTGCAAGCGCAAGGACCTGAGTTCAATCCGCGGTACCAAAAAAAAAAAAAAGAAAAGCCTCCAAAGTAGGTATTCAGGATATTTTGACTTTGAGCTTTTTAGTTTCTCTAATCTTAATAGAACATTGTTTATTGAGCAGGTTGAAAAAGGGACAAAAACAGACTTATAAAGCTGAACAAATATGGTGGTGTTTATAATAGCACAGTTGATAACCATAGTCATAAAGATAATAGTAGCTTATATTCCTGGGGCAGTGGCATTCTGAGGGTTATTTTTTCTATCGGGTCTTTTTCTAGATCATGCTGTTGAATAAGTGGCATTTTCCAACAAATGACACTGTAGAATGTTAGTTTTGGATGGAGTTTTAATAAAATATCAACTGGCCAGTTTTACAGATAAGTTCTCACATTTTGTTTTCAAATGAGTAAGATAGTATGCTTTGGCAGAAATTACAGGCCCCCTTCTAACCTTTGGGGCTAACTCTAAACTGGAAAACTCTAGTCATAATCCACTCAAAATTTTGCAAATTTATTTTGGACTTGTTTTCTAAAACCACACTTTCATTTAACATGCATAGCTTTTAATGTGAAGCTTTTTGGTACAAAGCTTATAAATTTTAAATAGAGATATTTTTGAAAGATTCATTGATATTGAATTTAATACAAACTTTAAAAGGAAGCCCTTTTAGGATATTCCGTTTCTACATGAATTTAAGTCATTTGAAATATATTAAAAGTTATGAAAATAGAACTAGCGATTTTTTAAAAAGCAATTATTTATATTACTGTGCTGTTATTTTTTAGTGCCAAAATAGTGGTTCATCTGCACCCGGCTCCTCCTAACAAAGAACCCGGCCCTTTCCAGAGTAGTAGGAACTCTTACATCAAACTCTCCTTCAAAGAGCATGGCCAGATTGAGGTAAGTTACCATGTGACTAAAGTTGGACTCCGTCTGTATGTTGTTGTTTTATGACAGAAGGCAATGTTGTACAACATAACAGCTCTCACCATAACAAATCTTTTCGTATCTTAAGCTGTGGGAAAGGAAAGCCGGCAAGTGTGGTCACAGGAGGGAGCAGAGGCTGCAAATGTGCTAAGTCATGCCACTTGATTACTAGTGAAGTTTTCAGTGGTGTAATTTGGTTAAAGGAACAGAGTATAATGTGGGAAAATACTAAACTGAGTTAGTATCTGAAAGCTAATCAGGCTTATATTAGGCAGTCTATTTTGATTAACTTAAAAAATCTAATCACTTCCAGGCTTATGCTGCAATTATAATAGTTCGTGTTTGTTCTGATTAATAAGTCACTATACAAGTATTCTTAAGACACTACATATATGTTTATCTTCCCATTAACATTATAAATCATTTGTTTCATTTTCAACAGTGTCTCAATAACTGCTCCTCACACAGTAGTCCCTAAGTAAATATGTATGTGATAGACCAAAGTCATTTTCACTAGTTGAAAAATATATTTGATTTTTTTTTAAGTGAGTATGTGCATGTTTTTGTCCCTAAGTTTTGGCTTCAGATTTTGACTAGACAAATTATTCTCTGTTTCCTCCATGGGAAATGGTTGTATATTTTTTCTGGCACCGTATTTGTTTCAGTATAGACTGAAAACAATCCACATATGCAGGATTGTTTAAAGTAAGTCTATTTATTTCATTGTCACTCATCTCTTTGTTGAGAATAGCTCACTTAATATAGAAGGTTAGTCTGTTCCCCACCCTTTGTTTTTTTTTTTTTCTTTCTTTCTTTGTGCTTTCTGAAGTTGGTTCAAGAAAAGAACTTCCTTTGCTTTCCTTTGATGTCTCAGAATTCTAGGCTTGTTGCAAATGATTAAACTTTTATACTGAAAAAAGATTAAGTAATAATTGTGTGAAGATACCACAGCCTGACTGACTCATTTATGGTTAATGTATGTGCACAACAGTTTTATAGGCGTTTGTCGGAGGAAATGACACAGAGAAGATGGGAGAATATGCCAGTTTCCCAGTCACTGCAAACAAATAGAGGACCTCAGGTATTTTTTAAACTATTTACTAATCCAGTATTTTAACTCTACTCTTAGATCATCAGTAAGAAAAAGACTGTGATTATAGAACTTGCCTAAAAACAAAATTGTGGTATTCTGGTAAAAATTAATTTTCACAGTTCTTAATTTAATCACTGGCCATGGACAGACACTGAAATATGTGAAAGTAACTGGGAAAATAACCATCAAGTACCAAGATTTTAATACAGATTTTTTTATACTTTTGAGACCCTATTAAATAATGAGGTACAAGATGGCTTGCCAAAGAATAAAAATAAATAGAAATATAATTTATTTGTAAAATACATATGAATATTTGGATTTTCTTTAATGATTTAGAGGTCATTATGTACTGCCAGTAACAGACAAATGTTTTCAACGGAAGCTAGGTGTAATTGTGTGCTTTTTTTCTTTGGTTCTTTGTGGGTCCTTTCCCGCCATTGAAAATACAATGTAGCTCAAAAATTATTTTGTTTCCATACCAGTTTGTGTGTTTTATATTGTACTTCTTTTTTTTTTCTAGCCAGGAAGAGTAAGGGCTGTTGGAATTGTAGGTATTGAAAGGAAACTGGAAGAAAAAAGAAAAGAAACTGACAAAAATATTTCTGAGGTAACTCAAGTTTTGGTCAGCCATCTTTTTCAGCCATTTGTGTTTATTCTTTTGAACATAGCCTCTGACACATTTTATAGTGTTGAATGTATTTGGTTTGCTTGATGCTCCACAGTCTTCTCTTCCCTTTTTTGCTTTTTTTTTTTTTTTTTTTTTTTTTTGGTACCAGGGACCAAACTCTGGACTTTGCACTTGCGCGGCAGGCAGCAGAAACACTGAGCTAAATCCCTGGCCCTGGAATATTTTTTTTAAAGCGCTCTATCTGCTATTTGATTTGCCAGTGATAGATTTCCTAGACGGAATTCAGGATAGCTGCTTTTTTTCTTTATTATAAGCATAATAAATTTGTTCCTTATCATCTTGCAATGTTGACTAAACTAATTAGGATTTTTTTGGTAAAAGATAATACCAAGAATTTTAATGAGTTGATGGTTCCATTCAGTTGCAATTATTAATTCTATTTGAAGCTTTTGACTATTCCATTTTTGGCCATGTGGCTTTTTCAAGCTGGCTCCTGACTTCTTTTGACATGACCTAGTAGACTTGTAGCTTTCTTACAATTTGATGTGACAGAAGTTCTAGGACCCTCTAGTACATGTCCTGCCCCAGAGCTGGAATTAAACGTTTAACTAAGCTCTTTTTTTAGTGGGAAAATATATTTCAGAACCACAATCCAGATTCATAGTTATTGGGCTGATCTTTTAGTCCTTTGCAGTGGGTAAGGCTAGAATTTTGATGTTATATAAAATGCCATGAGACCATCATGATCCTTGTGCTTCAAATTCAAAACAGCACTATCAAATAATTCCTAAAACAGCTAAAAAGAAAATTTTTGTATCTGTTTTCCCCATTCACACATTAATAGGTATATAGTATTTTATGGGTTGTATCTAGAAGTCCCCAAAATCCTTATGTGGTCATAGATGGGGCTTTTTTTTTTTTTTTTTTTTTTTTTTTTTTTTTAAAACTCAGGACCTTGTGTTTGTGAGGAGATGGAACTTTTTAAAGGTGGCTGGATCTAAAGTGTGAGATACTGGGATTGAGTATGTGATTACTAAATTAGGAAAGGACAAAGGGAGATGTAGGCTGCTCCTGTTTCTTTACTCCTTTGCTGCTTTGCTGCCTTCTGCCCACCATGAACTGTTTCTCCTCTGCTGTACCCCTCTGCCATGCCACTCTGCCTTGGAGCTAGTCAACTATGGGCTGAAATCTCTGCAAACTGTGAGCCAAATAAACCTTTCCTCCTTTAACTTTGGGTGTTAGGTATTTTGTGTCAGCAGTGAGAAAAGGCCTTTACAGAGGGCAGGGGCAGGATTTTGTTGTTACATGAAATGCCATGAGACCATCCTGATCCTTTCAATTCAAATTTCAGGACAGTACTACCAAATAATTCCTAAAGATAATTTTTTTAATCTGTTCTCCCCATTCTTCCCACATTAAAAATGGGTATGCAATACCTACACTATCTTGACATTCAGCCCTACACTCATGTCTGGCTCTCATTTAGCCTGTTCTCTAGTAGCTTTTGTGCTTGTGAGAACAGTATTCCTTGTATCTGGTGTGCTTGTGTATGTATACATGAACATTTTGCTGGTTTTAATATTCATAGTTCACATTTCTTTTCCTTATGTTACCTTTACTTTTTTGGTCTGCATGAACTATTGCTATGGAAGAGCAATGGCAGTCTAATCTTTTCTTCATAAATCACTTGCTGTTTTCCTTTTAAAACCCAGTTGTTTTACTAAACTGTATTTGTGATAGACATCCTGCATTGTTATTCTCAGATATACAGTTTTTTTGTTTTTGTTTTTGTTTTTTTTTTAGTATGTAATTTCAGAAATTTCTGGGAAGGTTTTTTTGTATAATTTTCAAGAATTGCCTTGAGTTTTTCCTTTTAAGACTCTAGTTAGCTGTACATTGTGCCTTTACCATCCATCATCACTATTTGTAATATTCTTTTAAATGCCTTTAAGCTTTCTTTTTTATTTAGAAAAATTTCCACTTCCTTATCTTTCTCTTACTACCTGTTTTGTTTATTCACTCTTGTGTAATGTCTGTTGTAAGCTTTAGTTCCAAAATAATTTTTTAATTCTTTCCTAAATCTCATACTTTACTTCTGCATGATATTGTCTTTTCATAACTTGTATCATCATACAAGCATTCTTTAGTTTATTTTGAAATAAAAGGGTGCATTTGAGTCTAATCCATAAGTATGTTTTTTGGCATGCTTTTATTGTCTGCATAGTGTTATTCTGCTCCATGTTTTCTTTTATCTTATAATAACTTTATGTAGGATTTGACCTTATCCTTTGCTGTGGCTCATTTTCATGTGCAATTAGTTTCCGTGAACTTTTAGAGGAAGGCCTAGTTATTTCATAGTAGCAGTCTTCCTCCACACAGCCTACTCCCACCCCAGCTGTTTTCCTATAGTATTACAAATAATAATGGCTCACTTTCAGTGAGGCTTTGTCCTGTTCATATCTCTTGTTTTAACTGGACTTAATTCTTCTGTATTATTCCTACCTCACTCCACTCTGACTCCTTTTTCAGTGGCTTTTCTCCACTATGGGTTTCTGTCCTGGAAGGAATGACTGACAGGTCAGTTTCAATAATTCTAGGCTTCTTCATTTCCGTTAGCCCCTATTTGGGACACCTGGCACCCATCCACTGTTGAAGTGGGTGAGACCCTCTCAGTTTTAGGCATTGTCTGCACATTAGCCTGCCTTGCTTTCTAGTGAACACCTATTGGCTCTTTTGGGGTTCTCTTATGCATAGATCTATCAGTGGCACTGTTATTTCCCTTTTCTCTTCTTTCTTTCTTTTTTCTTTTTTTTTGGTACCAGGGATCAAACTCAGGACCTTGTGCTTGCAAGGGAGGCATGGTGCCACTGAGCTAAATCCCCAGCCCCCTCTCTTTTGCTTTTTCTGCCAAGATTCTGGCATCATAAAGGCTTGTCACTCTTATTTTCTCTGCTTGTATTTTGGGGGTCTTGCCAGTATCATGACATGTAGTTTGGAAATATGTGCTACCTATGGGCTTTTGGTTCTAAGATCAGTTGTGTCTGCTTTTGTGCTGGGATTTGGAGAGATTCAAAAACTATGCCACCACAGACCCCATCTTTTCAGGATTCTCTATTTCCAAACAATCTTCACATTCTAGCATTTGAAGGGTTCTTGTTCTCCAGAGAAGAAATTGTCTCAGAGTGAGTGTCTGGACTTGGCACCAGAGGGATAATCCCCCATTTCTCCTTATTTGCTGGCAAGTGGACATACCACCACGTCAGCATAACTCTCTTTGTCTCCTATAGGTGCTGACACTGTCCCCTTTCAGCAACACCCAGTGTCATGCTCTGTGTCTTGGTACTTTCTTAGGGAGAAGGCATCAAATAGTGCATTATTTGTATTTTGAATTATTTATATTCTTTTTTCTGACTGTTTTCGTATCTTGGTATTATGTACAAAATACAGTTTTTCTTAATTTATGATACAAGATATTGTAGTTCAGTCTAATTGTCATGGAGAATTGTAGCAAAGGATTCTACACAGCATTGTGTTCTTTTTTTTTTTTTTTTTTTTTTTTTTTTTGGTACCAGGGATTGAACTCGGGTCCTTGTGCTTGCAAGGCAGGCCACCGAACCGCTGAGCTAAATCCTCAATCAGCATTGTGTTCTTTTTTATTTTTATTTTTGAGACAGGGTCTCACTATGTAGTTGAGACTGACCTGCAACTCGCTATGTAGTCCAGACTGTAGTCTCAAACTCACAGTGATTCTCCTGCTTCAGCCTCTCGAGTGCTGGGATTACAGGCGTGTGCCACCACCCTCAGCTTCACACCATTGTGCTCTATCATGTAGATCATTGATTTATTCTGCAGGTAGGCCTTGTCTCTACTTTGCTGGATCCTATGTAGAAGCCATAGATACTGTGATCACGGTCCAGATGCAGGCAGGCAAACAGGTACTGACTACAGTGGGAAAAACACCTTGTGAGGAGAAAACCAGGCTGCAGCAGGAACACATGACACAACCCCCAATTCCCACTGGAGTTAAGGAAGGCTTTTCAATAGCCTGAACATAGAATTCAAGGCCTGAAAGACAGTAGGTGCTAGCAGTCGTTAACAGGGATAAAACAAATGCAGGTAGACAGAAAGGAATATACCAAGGTACAGAACTGAGTATTAAAAGTGGAAATTCAAAAATATATTAATAGTTGCTGAAACCAATAACCAAAGTAATGGCTGAAAATTAGTTACAAAATAATTCTATAAGTCAGCTTATGAGGTTACCTGTGGCTTTAAAACAGGTACCATCTTAGCTCAGTGGTTCTGCTGCCTGCTTCGCAAGCACAAGGTCCCAAGTTCAATTCCCAGTACCAAAAAAATAAATAAATAAAAAAAATCTTTCTCCAAGTGGAAATTTGATCCTGGGTATAGTAGAGTGGTAGAATTTTCTGTAAACTCGCAAATAAAATAATCAAATGGGTATGTGCACCTTCCATCTTGCTTTAACTTTTATTGTATATTTTCCACCCATTTTTTGATAATTGGTTGATTTCAAAGTTTAGAATAATAGAAATAAAAGTGAGGAAGCTTTTATTTGTACTTTATAATTACTTAAAAATTTTTATACAGGGCCAGGGATTTAGTTCAGTGGTTCTGCAGCTTGCTTCACAAGCCCAAGGACCCAAGTTCAATCCTTGGTACCAAAAAAATAAATTAAATTAAAAAGGGCCAGGGAGTTAGCTCAGTGGTTCTGCCTCCTGCCTTGTAAGTACAAGGATCCGAGTTCGATCCCTGGTACCAAGACAAAATAAAACAAAAAAAATTTTATAGATCTGAAGCACATGTGTACTCTTTATTGATTATAATCAATAAAGTCTAGTAGATGATTTTATGTGGACTTATTGAGAATATTTTTATGAATATATTTTTTATGATTTACCATATAAAACTGTTTTATTAGTTTTCTTTACACAAGTAAAATAAATCTGTGTATTAATGTTTTATATAGTCAGAGTAAAAAGTATATGAAATTTCTGTGTATGATTTGCCCCCCGTTTCAATGTTGGAGTTGACTTAGTTTCAGAGCTGGTGCCCAGAGCTTCCCACAAAGAGTTTCCTGCATCTGCTGGTGATTGCTGATAAGAATCCATTATTTAAGCTTTTTGTTTATCTGAGGAAATTCCTGTTAGGTGTGTGCACATTCTCCTTTGTTTTCCTTGTAAGCCTTAGTGAGTTGGCCATAAGAATCTTAAACTGCACTCTATTCTTCGAGCAAAATCCGATAGCAGGTGAGGAATACTTCCCTGCAGATGGGTTTAAACTGACCTGAGCCCTGAGCCCTGACTATAGTGTATATATCAGACCGCTATATGGATCGATTTTTCATTGTGCCTATCAGACAAATTCTATACTGGCAATAAATGATCAGTAACTTGAAATAATATATTAGAAACATGTCTTATAAATTTGAAGAGGCCTTTGAATATTTGTTGTAGTAAATGAAATGATGGATGAGTTTTATATAGATACATTTGGTGGTATTTGTATCCTTTTTTTGTTTGTTTGTTTGTTTGTTATTTGAGACAAGGTTTCATTATGTAGCTCAGGCTGGTGGTGAAGTCATGGTGATCCTCCTCCCTTAGCCTCCTGAGTGCTGGGATTACAGGTCTGTGCTACCACATCCAGCATGAATGCTTTTTTTGTGTCTGATGCATCATATTCACTGTTATAAAAGGTTTAATACTCAGAGGCTAAGACTTACTGTTTCAGTTATATCAATAAAAATTATTGTGTCCCAAAAAGTACTCTTGTAGCTGTGTATTGCCATCTTCAGCCAGGAAAAATTCATAATGCCTTTGATTCTTGAACTTCTATTAGAAAAACCAGTGACATATTTTCTTACTTGTGTTAAATACAGTGAATAATATTTTGTGAGCTATGTTATTTTTTAATGTTTGATCAATAATAACAGTTATCTCTTTGAAAATTTGATGTTTTTGTTGCAGTTTGTTTTAGAAAATGTTTTTTTAGCTAAAATGTCACTTTTAGGATAAAGTACATGTATTATTTATATAATTATTTTATTAAGTCATATTTGTAAGAAAACTTCATAAATTTATATCATAGGAAGGCCAGGGGATTAGCTCAGTGGTTCTGCTGCCTGCCTCACAAGTACAAGGTCCTGAGTTTGATCCCTGGTACCAAAACAAACAAACAAGCAAACAAACAACAAACACATGATAAATTATATCATAGGGTCAAAAATAGAGGTAATGCCCCATTGCTTTAAAATATGTTAATTCTTTAGACAGATTCCAACAAAAACTCTTTTCTCATTTCAGGCCTTTGAAGACCTCAGCAAGTTAATGATCAAGGTATATGTCATTTACACCTCTGAAATTCATATCAGTTGTAACACCATTTTTTTTGTTTTTGTTTTTTTTTTTTTTTTTTTTTTTTTTA